AAGAAAGAAAGAAAGAAAGAAAGAAAGAAAGAAAAAGAAACAAAGGAAGGAAGGAAGGAAGGAAGGAAGGGAAAGAGAGAAAGAAAGAAAGCTGTTGATACCAAGATGGAATTATTGCCTGGTGATACTGAAATAAAAAGAAAGAAAGAGGGGCTGCTGGGGGGGGCTTTTGCCCTAAAATCCACCACCCCCGCTCCCGCCGCCCTCGAAGGAGCGACGCCCTGCCAGCTGGACCCCCTCCTGCTATGACGGAGGAACGGATTATTTGGGGTAACGTCCCTCCCGCCCCCCCGTTACTTACCGTGCCTTGGGCAGGGGATGCCTGGGAGGATCGGGCGGCAGGATCAGGCTCACCTAGAAGAAGTGGGGGTGGAGGAGGAGGAGGAGGAGCAGGGAGGGAGGGAGGCAAGGGAAAGGGCGGCGACGGTCTTTTCCCTGCCCGGATCCTCCCTCTGCGCCCAATCCAAACCGGCGCAGCCTCGCTCGGGCGCGGGCGCAAAAAGAGAGGCTCCTTCCCTGTCACTCCGGGTTTCTTCCAGGGGTCATTTCTGAATGCACACTCACGGGTTTCGTCTGCGCCTGCGCAGAGGTCTCCGGGAATAGTGTTGCGCTCAAACGTGCACTGGCCAGATCCGCCACACACGCCCCCAGTACACGTGCTCCGCCCGTCCTTACGACGGCCTCCCTCCCAAACTGTGCCCGTCCTCGGGGAAGTGTGGATTCACCGGGGACCCCTCGAAGAACCAGAACTACAGGTAAGTCACCTGCCTTTCTCCTTCGTGATCTCGAATGGGTGACTGACCAGCTGACCTTATCGGTGGTGGAGGGTCCTCACGACAAGACCCAGGACAAGACCGCACGTGTGAAAGCTGTATCCGCCTTGGCCCCTTGCATCCCGGCGATAATGGGATGCAAAGGTCGACGGAGTGGACCAGGTAGCAGCCTTGCAGGTATCTGGAATAGGTACACCTCGCAGAAAAAGCCCTGGAAGTGGCTATTGCTCTGGTGCAGACCTGGGCAAAATGTGGCCCTCCAGGCAGAAGTGGCTATTGCCCTGGTGCAGACCCGTGCAAAATGTGGCCCTCCAGATGTTGCTGAACTCCCAGCAATCCTAGTCCACACGGCCAATACAGTGGTGCCTCGCTAGACAGTGGCCAGTACAGTGGTGCCTCGCTGGACAGTTACCCCACATGACAGTTTTTTCGCTAGACATTGGCTTTTTGCGATCGCTATAGCGATTCGCAAAACAGTGATTCCTATGGGGGAGTTTCGCTGGACAATGTTTGGTCCCTGCTTCGCAAACTGATTTTCGCTAGATGACGGTTTTGACAGCTCCCTCCGCGCTTGCAAACAGGTGTTTTCGGGACCTAAGCTTCGCAAGACAGCGATTTAAACAGCTGATCGGGGGGTTGCAAAGCGGCTTTCCTATGGCCGATCTTCGCTAGACAACGACGATTCTTCCCCATTGGAACGCGTTAAACAGGTTTCAGTGCATTCCAGTGGGGAAATGCTTTTCGCTAGACAATGATTTCGCTAAACAGCGATTTCAGTGGAACCGATTATCGTCTAGCGAGGCACCATTGTAGTTGGGATTTGCAGTTCAGCAACATCTGGAGGGCCACACTTTGCCCAAGGAACGAGCCTTAATCTGTGTAGGCGGAGGCTTTTGAGCAAGCTGATGCATTAGGTGTATGGTTTGAACCATCCATCGTGAGATGGTTTGAGGAGATACATGTGTTCCTCTGTGTGGCAAATGCATAGTAAGGAGGCCGTTCTTTTGACTTCGAACTCAAGAGCCCTTCTCACATCCAGAAGGTGGAGGGATCGCTCGAGGTCCCTTGTCGGTGACCGGAAGACAGTACAGAGGACAATAGGTTGACAGGACATGAAATTTGGAAACGGTCTTAGGGAAGAAGGAGATGTCTGGACCCATTGTGACTTTATCCTGGTGAAACTGCAGGAACAGAGGGTCTACTCGTAGGGCTGCAAGTTCAGACACCTTAAGGGCCGATGTGAGAGCGACTAGAAATAACACTTCAAAGGAGAGCAGATGCTCAGAAGAAATAGCAAGAGGTATGTTGGTTACTCAATTGTCTTAAGGTGCACAGCCAGCGAGGAGGATGTGGTGGATGGAGAAGCAGCTTAGAACCCAGGAGACCTGGATTCAAATTCTCACTCAGCCAGAGAGATGCACCAGGGAGGGGAACTGGTAGACCCACTCCTTATACACCTCCGATTGCCTTGAAAGCCCTATCTGGGTTGCCCTAAGTTGGAAGTAACTGGACAGTGGGTGACAAAGAAGAGGGCTGATCTCATTTCCCCTGTCCATCTGGGCAATGCTAACTGCAGGCTTGCTACTCTTGTGCTTGAACACAGGCCAAATAGCCAGGTTGCACATTTTGCCTATGAAAAACCATTTGATTTTTAAATGAAAAGGGAAACTCTTAACATTACAATTTGATGCACATTACTAAACATATCAATAATGTGTTGAAACGCACCAGATGGCACCGCCGGGCAAATCTTTTGGCTTCCGATTATTTTTTAATACTATGGCCTTGAACTGTTTCAGGACAGTTTCCAAGGGTATGCATCCTGCTTATTAAGCAGAGTCCTAACTTCATGGCCCACCTTGAAGGCCACTGAGTCTCACGGCAAGCTGCCCCATTAGCAGGTCTGACTGTATGCTGACCAAAGGAAAGAAGTATCAGCCCGTTTCCTCAGGTCCGGAAAGAAAAAACAAGAAACCGGGTGTGCTGACCAAAGCAAACAAGTATCAGCCCATTTCCTCAGGTCCGGAAAGAAAAAACATGAAACCGGGCCTTCTCGGCAATGACTCCCCATCTTTGGAACAATCTCCCCTCCATCCTCTCGGCAATGGCTCCCCATCTTTGGAACAATCTCCCCTCCGAGATCTGTTTGGCCCCCTCAAAAGACAACTTAAAAGCTGGCTATTTAGGCAGGCCTTCCCGTCGGGCACCACTTAACTTTAATTCTCCATCTTGCATGTCTATCTATTGTTAAATTGTTGTGGCATTTTCAAAAGACAACTTAAAACCTGGCTATTTAGGCAGGCCTTCCCTTCGGGCACCACTTAACTTTAATTCTCCATCTTGCATGTCTATCTATTGTTAAATTGTTGTGAAACTGTATTTATATGTCAATTGCTTTTATCTGTTGTGAGCCACCCAGAGTAGACAATGTCTAGATGGGCGGCATATAAGTTTAATAAATAAATAAATCTGGTGGCTTGCTACTAGATGAGCAACTTAGCCATTTAATAGACAATATTAAAAAGCACAGAAAAGGGGAAGCAAGCTTAACGGAAATGGTATGGATAGCAAACAGCCCGCATAGGGGGAAACGTGCAAATTGAGAGTGGAAAAATGAATAAATGCAAAGAGTAACTGGTGGCTTGCCACTAGATGAGCAACATAGCCATTTAATAAATAAATCTCCAGCAAAGACAATGTTAAAAAGCACAGAAAAGGGGAAGCAAGCATTAACAGAAACGGTATGGATAGCAAACAGCCCGCATAGGGGGAAACGTGTAAATTGAGAGTGGAAAAATGAATAAATGCAAAGAGTAACAAATGTCGAAGTGAGATGGTTCGCAAACACCTTACAGCTCTGTTTGCAGGCGAGAGAGAATGAAAATAAGGCAGGGTTCTGCCCCTTCTCAAAAGCACCCCTTTAGAACACCACATCCATTAACACATCCACACTGTGTTTAAACTTAAGTTTGTTCCTTTTATTGGAAAAAAGACATTTTAGAAAACGGCAGTTTATATAAGGGGGGAAAAAAGGTTCTTCAGCATGAATAAGTGCACCAGATGGACCCTGCCCCCCAAAAAGCTACCTTCCCCACATGGAAGTACATTTTAAAACTCCTTGCCATTTCTTTGTTCAAACTCTGCAGTTTTCTCGAAATACCCCCAGCCAACCCATCTCGCTTCCAAGTCTGGATAGTTCCACCTTCCCCACCCAACGCCGAGGTCTCTCCCCCAGCCAATAAAAAGCTTTTTTTTAAGCATGTCCCTTTCCTGTCTTTGATAAATATAAAAAATAAAGAAAACTTGCTTCAAAATGGACAACATTTGTTTAATAATGGATACAGCGCCCTGAATTGCCAACATAAGAAATTAAGGAATCAATCCCTTCCAGAAGATGGGACAAAATATATATTTCATATATAGATCTCTATATATTTATTTAAATCAGCATGGCCTTTGCGGTGAACTCTGCCCAAGGGTAGGGCTGCCTTATAAAGGACTGCTAGCTTTAAAAAGGAAGAGAAGAAACTTACACAGCGGTTGCCTCTGACTTAGGGTCCTCCAGATGTGTTAAACCACAACTCATCCCCAGGCAACACTGCCATGATTGGCATTCTCATCCCACACATCTGGGTGGTACCACACTTGGGGGGGGGAGCCTGTTCTAAAAGATTCAGCAGCCCCTTCTCCTGCTTCAAAACTGTGGTTGCAAAGCACCTTGTCAAAGCAGGTAAGATGTTAACCCCCAGAGCAAGACAAAGCCAAGGTTAACCTGGAATTTGCAGGTCATAAATTTTAAAACCGTTCTTCTCTGGAGAGGGACAGAGAGAGAGGAAAAGAAGGGAAGGAGAGAGGGGACCTCTGGACAAAAACTAAGGCTCGCATCTGTTGCTATTTTGCTTTATTGGCTTAAACTCAGCACGAGCCCAGCGGGACGGTGGACACCGGGCGGGGTGGTGCATTACTTCATCTTCCGTTCTGAGAGCAGGCTATCATGCAGCTTGGAGACTTCTGGCTCAAAGGCTTCCATTACTAAGGTACCATTGCCGTCAAAGAATTTTGCGACGGATTTCGTGAACTCCGCCTCCCGCTGCTGTTTGGTCCTGCCACTGATGAACGTCATTTTCAGGGTGTACTTGTCATCGAACCTGGAGAGTGAGGAACAGAAATGCTGCTGTTGGGGAGTGAAAGAGAGGAGGGAGGAGGCCAGAGAGACCGTATTGGTTCTCATCGGAGAATAGGCAGGTGCAAACATAAGTGATTGATAAAATCTGTGTGGCAACCACAGGGAAGGGCTCCATCTACCTTCGCTTGTCATGTGGATTTCAAAGATCTAGCATGCAACAGGTAGAAACGAGCCTCACACGCCTTGAGTTTGCTCCCGAGGCACAACCAGAGGGGGAATGGAGCAGCCCGAGGCTGTCACTTCACTGCCAGGTCTCATCTGCTTGGGGAGTAATTCTGTGCTCTCTCAACTTTACACCACTGCTTCACCCTACATTCTCTGCAAGGCGATAAAGCTACGTGCAGGTTGCATGATGGGTGCCAGGCTCACACAATTCCCACCATGTGAGCCTCCCAGAGTTTGGAAATGTTTACTTTTTTGGGACTCCCACAAGGAATTCTGGAATTCATGCTACCCAGTGAACCAAGCAGCTTTTCCCAAACTCCAAACCCGACTCTCTCCATGCAAGGAACACGTTCGAGCCTAAGCTGTCTCCCTCAGACATGCTTTCAATGTGCTGGGACATAGTTTTGGAAAAGGGAGCATTCGATCCCCTTAGCCCTGACGTCTAGTCTGCAGAGACACCTTGCTCTGTAGCCCTCCTTCCACTTTCATTAGATGTTGCCTGGGCCCTCTTAAACCTGCGTGGGCTACTTTTAGAGCTTAAGTGTTTGTCTTCCCTTCAAAACAAGTGAAAGCAGAGACTCCGAGGCTGCTCAAACCTGCAACCGGGACCAAATATCACAATGGCAGAGAAAACAAACAGAAGCCAGAAAATCAGCGTCTGACTCAAAGGGTGGCTCTTGATGGTTGATAAGCGGGTACCTTTTCAAACTTGACGATAGCTGCCAGATGTCGTCGGGATCCATTCCTGCGGGATCTTTTCTGTGTGCTACCAAGAAGATGCTTTTCTCCTTGTATGAGGTATAGATGGTCAGAATCCCCATCATAACAAAATACGTTGAGCAAGGTTAAAGAAAAAAAGACATGAAGACCAAGCACAACCTAGCAAAGTATTTCACGTCTGAGACTAAAGATAATCCTGGGTGAGAGAGAGGCACGACTCTGCCAGGGCTTTGCTATCCAAAACATTTGATACGATGGGCACATCAATCTAACCTGTACATGGTTCCTGAACTGCTCAAGCCCAACCTGAAACAGCAACCTGTAGCATGGACCATTTAGATTTTTAGATTAGGCATCCTTCAGTCTCGAGAGACGATGGGAACGTGTTCTGAATAGAGGACTTGGAACAGCGTCTCGTGTGGTTGAGAAGGCCAATTCGAGAGTGACCATCCCTTCCACCCTGAAGACAAATACAAGCTGTCCCCTGTCCAGCTCCCTGCTTTTGCATGGACCATTAAAGGGCAATAATTTCTAATACTTACACAAACATACACATATCCAGTATGTCTGCATGATTCTTTTGTTTGCTCCATTTTGGGCATAAGGAAATGCCAAACCTTCCACATACCTTCAGAGAAGGCACAGGAAGACCTTGAGATTTAAACATTCCACTGCAGAAGAAAGAAAGAAGCAATAGATTCACCCATCCAGAGTTCAGAGTTGTCCTTGAAAATCTGGCCTGGAAGCACTTTGCTTTTCACCTGCTTTTGGAGCGTTTGATCAAGGCTGTTGCCTTTTTATTTCAGACTGGCTTCTTCTATCTACCACACTTTCCTCCTCTGTGCTGGGAACTGCTGTACCTCATGGATTTATCTATTAGAAATGGATGCAAATTCTCATGCTTCACCGTAAATTTGGATGGAAAGAAAATTAGATTTTTTTAAAAAAAATTGAAGGTGGGAAGAAGCAAATGGGAAAAACCCATCCATCTACTAGACGGATTCACAAATTCAAAACGCCATTCTTTTAAAATGTGACGAGCATAATATTTCAAGCGAGGAACGTCTCTCTCTCTCTCTCTCTCTGTGCACACTGCTAGACGGATTCACAAATTCAAGACGCCATTCTTTTAAAATGTGACGGGCATAATATTTCAAGTGAGGAACGTCTCTCTCTCTCTCTCTCTGTGCACACTTTCTGCCCACCAGGAATAATTTTATAACCCACTTTGTTTCTTGTTTTTATCTAAGCCGCTTTGGGTCCCTTGTTGGGAGAAATATGGCATAGAAATAAAACTAATAAAAAATAAATAAGCTATTCGCACCCTTGGTAAAGTTTGCCCTTGACTCCGAGTCCAGTCCCGTCCGACTCTAGGGTGCAGCGCTCATCCGCGTCTGCAAGCTGTAGAGCCAGCGTTTGTCCGAAGACAATCTTCCATGGTCACGTGGCTAGCGCGACTAGACACGGAATGCCGTGACCTTCCCACTGAGGTGGTACCTATTTATCTACTCGCATTTCTACATGCTTTTGAACGGCTAGGTTGGCAGGAGCTGGGACAAGTGACGGGAGGGCACTCCGTCGCATGGATTCAATCTTACGACTGCTGGTCTTCTGACCTTGCAGCACAGAGGTTTCTGCGGTTTAACCCACAGCGCCACCCACATCCCTATAATTTTTTTTCCAGTCTGTTGCCCTCTTCAAATGCACCAGGAGGCTATTTGGGCCCCACTGAGAGTGACTGCTCTAGATCAGTGGTTCTTAACCTTTCAGGCTATTTGGGCCCCACTGAGAGTGGATGCTCTAGATGAATGGCAGATGTTCTTGGACTGCAACTCCCAGAAATCCTGGCCAGCGCAGCGGGGGGGTGAAGGTTTCTGGGAGTTGCAGTCTAAAACTCCTGAGGAACCCAAGGTTAAGAACCAGTGCTCTAGATAAGTGGCAGATGTTCTTGGACTGCAACTCCCAGAAATCCTGGCCAGCGCAGCGGGGGGGTGAAGGTTTCTGGGAGCTGTAGTCCAAGAACACCAGGGTCACTCCAGGTTGGGAACCCCTGTTCTAGAGGTACCATCGGACAATTCAACTTCTAAATACAAATTAGATCCAATTGCTGGCAGAAAAGACACCAAACCAACCAAGGCGAAACGAACTCTGGTAGCTGAACGGAACGCCCAGAAGAGGATATGACACGACACACACGGCAAGGACTGGCTTGGACTCGGGGAAGGGATGAAGATAATCCCAGATTAAAGCCACAATGGCAAAAAGGCAGGAGATCGTGCAAATGATGAGGCGGCCATCTATGAGGCAGAAGTTCTCCACGTACTTGTACTTTTCCAAGAGAACCTGACGGAAGAAGAAGAAGAATCACGAAGGTGAGACACAGATGCCCAGCCACACAAACGGAAGAGCACAACGGAAGAAGAAGAAGAAGAATCACCAAGGTGGGACGCAGATGCCCAGCCACACAAACGGAAGAGCACGCTTGGCACAGACGTGGTCCCTGCAAGTCATCTGAGACGTCTGTGCCGGTTGTGTGTAACACCACCGCATGATGTGTCCTGATGGAGTCAACATGAATGCCCTCTGTGTGCCACTTTGATTCTGACCCTTCCACATCGGGACAGTTTGGCCTTGTGTTCCAGAGTGCTTTGAAGGCATCCTGCAGTGCCAGGAACGGTTCTTCAGCCTCTCTTCCAGCCTCCGTTCTCAGGAGGAAGGCTGGGGTTCAGCATGCTTATCCCAGTGGGCGAAAGGGAGGACTCCTTCCACGCATGGGCTGCAAGGGACAGCAGCCAAGGGCAAGAACGCCTTAAAGGGGCCTGGGAGATGGATGTCACGGGGGGCTGTCAGGAAGAGGAACTGAGGAACTCCAAGCGGTTTTACAGCCAGGCAGAGAAACATGCCTTTTATTTATTTATTTATTAAATTTATACCCCGCCCCTCTAGACCATGTCTACTCGGGGCGGCTTACAGCATAAAATAGATCAATATAAAAAATGTAAAAATACAATTAAAATATTAATTAAGGCAATTAATTTAAGAAAGGAGTACCAAGATGGGATAGAATAAGAAAAGAGGAGGAGAAAAAAAGAGACTTAGCTGACTGTCCATGTGTTCAGAGCTGGCTGGTGAAAGGGTGACAAAACGAGGTCCCAAAATACAGGACACACTCCCCCCGCCCGCAATCTGCGGGATCAGGTATCTCCTGATTCGCTTATCCACTGGCTGAAAACACTAAATAAAGAACCCCAGAAATACCGAGGCCTATGTATTTCCAAGGTGTATTTACCAATGGAGCCAGAGACCACATCATGTATATAGGCTCCATATTTCTGTGTTTTTCAGCATCCATGGTGGGTGAGTGGTGGCGGGGAGGCTTAGAACAGATCTGCGGGCACCCCTGGTCCTTCCTGTTCAGCTCTCCCACCCTTGCAAAGGGAGGAGAGAAAGGGTACCTTTTTGGCAGAGTCGTCCAAGGAATTCTTCACGGCAGACCCGTCCCATTTGTCCACTTTGACTGGCTTGTCTTCGATCTTCCACTGCCGGACAAAAGAACAGACCAGAAAAGTTTTCAGAAAAGTGGTGTTGCCTTACACACACACACATACACCCAGCTTGGTCTCTTGCCTGTCTGCCCCACGGATACCCACAGCAGTCTTCGTCCTATGCCGCTCTCCTCTTGTTCCCCTTCCCTCCTCCCCTCTTGCAGTTTATGGATCCTGAGCGACTTCCCTTCGGCGGCAGAACGGGGTCACGCAGCTCATTTGGTCCGCAACACCTGTGACGATGCGGGTGGACAGGAGGAGCAGCAGCAGTTGAACCTTTCAGGCGTTCAGAGACCCTAGTTCCTAACGGATCAAAGCTTCTGACACCCAAACAAGAGCACATGAAGCATGGTTATACCCATCTTGTGAAGGCAAAACTGATGATGAAGGGGGAAAAAAGAAACCAGTGCCCCCCACCGCCCTCCGAACCACAACTCAGCTCCCAACTGGGCTACACTCTGAAGAAGCAGGGGGCCTTTCTAGCTTTGGCTCCAAGTCACTTGTGTTTGTATTCTGGGTAGGCAGATTTTTGAAGAAACCCCAGTGTTAATGGAGAGAGACAAGCAGGAGGATTTCTGTTTATCTCTCTTCATTAATACGGAGATTGACGACTGTTGCTAGCTGCATTTTGTAAAACTTGTTATTTGTTTGGGGGGGGGAAGCAAAATGGCACAGATAGGTGAAGAGGGCGGATACAGTTTGTTTGTTCATTCGTTTGACTTTTATACTGCCCATCTGGCTACCACAATCACTCTGGGTGGTTCACCGTGACATAAAACAAGACAAAACCAAAAATGAAACGTAAGAATCCCTCCAGTTCCAGAGGAAGGCTGTCCTCTGGCTGCCAAACTGGAGGCTGGACAGCTGCCCGTTGGGGGATGCTCTAGGTTTGGATTTCCTTCGCTGAGCAGGGGCTGGACTAGAACGATTCCAAGGAGCCCCTCCAAGCCTATGCCTTTCTCACTCGGGCCCAACGTTGCCAACTGTTCTCTCCTTGGTCCTTCCCCAGATCCTTTAAAAGTGGAGCTTCTAGGGATTCAACCTGCAGGCAAAGCATGTGTGTCCTGTCCCTCAGCAGTGGCTCTTCCCTACCACAGAATCAGACTGTTTTCACATCGGCTGTTGTGATCATCAACTAAACATGTTCAACTAAACAGTTAAGATGTATTGATTTTAGAAACATTTGAATCCGCTAAAAGGGCACTCCAGTTAATCTGCTGGTCAGGTTAAGCCCTTCTTCATCCAGGTGGATTAAAAAGTGGCATGGAATGAATGGGTCTGGAGGTATGTTCTGATCCCCGCGAGAATCCCAACACCTTGAAGGTTAGGAGAAATGTTAAGGAGAGGTTGAACAGATAGGCTGAACAACCTATTGCTATTTTAGGCTGCATCAACAGAACTAGTGTCGAAATATTGTGAAGTACTAGTCCCTATCTATTCAGCACTGGTGAGGCCTCATTGCGAGCCCTGTGTCCAGTTCTGGACACTGTACTTTATGAAAGAATCCAACAAACTGGAACACGTTCAGAGGAGGGCAACAAGGAAGATCAGGGAGCTGGAAACCAAGCCCTAGGAAGAAAGGCTGAAAGAACTGGGCATGTTTAGCCTTGAGAAAAGAAGGCAGAGGGGAGACAGGACAGCCCTTTGCAATTATTTGAAAGGCAGTCACACAGAGGAGGGGCAGGATCTGTTCTCAATCCTCCCAGAGTGCAGGACATGCAACAACGGGCTCAAGTTAAAGGAAGCTAAATTTCGGTGGAATATCAGGAAAAACTTCCTGTTAGAGCAGTACGACGGTGGAACCCGTGACCTCAAGACGTGGCGAGTGCTCAAAAGCTGTAGAAGAGAAAACTGGACAACCCTCTGTTGGGGCTCTGCTTTGGCTTGGATTCCTAACACAAGTAGGGGGGTTGAACTAAATGGCATTAGAGGCCCTTTCCAACTTTATTATTCTATGGTTGTATAACACAATCCCTCACATATTTTCTACTTTATATGAGAGGGAGATGGCCAATTGAAGAATAAAGCCAACGGTCTTAATTTGGCTGTAATTCAACAACAGCCAGACGCATGATTCTAAGCGCTAACGTAGCACAATCACTAGCAGCAGTCCGAGCTTTGCCATCAACTTCCTTCCTTTTACTGCCACCACGACCGAAGGCTTCCTGTTACCCTCAAAGAAAGACACATCATCCTTGTTGAGACAGGACGGTGCCATGGGGACGGTTTAAGTGCCTGTAACTGGAAGAGAATTTCAGACCCATCGCTTCCTAGCTTGGAAACATGTCGTCTACACCTCTCTGCGGCTCTTAAGTCTAATCTCCGGCCAGAAAGCTTTTATTTTTCTAAGAAACACATTTCCATGAGAGAAGTAAGCAGGAAGGAACTAACCCAGTGCCATCTGTCTGAAAATAATTTTTGGCCCGAAAGTCACAGTCTCATCCACAATTTTTAAAAATCACCCGAGAAGCCAGATACCCTTCAGTTCTAGATGTCAGAGGGAATAAATTTACTGTGATAGCCTGCTGTTCTCGCCATAGCGGGACCCCAAGCAGCTGAATACAGGATTAAAATAAAAAATAAAAAAATTAAAATCCAGTTCAGCTCCAACAGATCTAAGGGATGCATAATACCTAAATGGCAGGTGACCAAAAGCGTCCAGAGGTTATCACCAGCAACTGGCTATCATCAGCAACTGCTAACAGAGAAGGATGCTTCTGTGAAACTGGAAATTCTGGACAGCTTCCTGCAGCCTTGGCACCCTACAGGAACTCTAGACTCCAGTTCCCATCATCCTGAACCAGCATGGCTTGTTGGCAGACCCCTTCTCTCTATAAAAAACGTGCCTGATGGTTGTTCACTCAAGAAACTACCGCCTCAGACCAGACCAGCCACCAGCACTCTGCTTCCAACAGCTAGGTAGCAGCAGAACACCTACAAGCAAAGAGGGTCAAAGCAACAGCTTTCTATTATGGTCTGCACAATGAATGAGCCCTTGTTTCTCAGAAGGCCCCCCTCCCGGGTTTAATCTCTGACAGAGGGGAGGGTGTTTGGGGGGGGGATAATGGGTGAGTTAAAAGACACATTGGTGGCCAAGATCTGGGAGATCTGCTGTCAATCCTAGCAAGAGCAGAAATTGGAGAGAAATGACTCCTCCTCCCATTATCCCTCCCCATGCAAGGAAGAGGCCAATGGGACCCGGAGTGGAATAATGCTTGGAGGAATACAAGCCCCACAGCTCTGCAGCAGACAAGACCAAGTGAAGCCAGTGAACAGCCTCACCTGGCACACCCCCGTTTCTTGGACTACAACTCCCCAAATCCTTTTCCCCAGCCCAGCATTCTGGGCATTGTGGTAGCCCTAAATAAATAAAGACTTCCCTCCCCCTCCAATGTGTGTCATAATCGAACCCTCCCCTTGAAGGGTTGCTAGCAGGACTCCCCCTCCCCTCTGAAAGCCACCCCCACCCTTCGCCCTAGAGATCTCCTGTGGCGGGGAGTTCCACATGCTCACGGTAGCAGAGGCTCCCTCGCGAAGGGGGAAAGGAGGCACCCGGTGGGGGGGCGATTTCTGAGCGGGGGAGGGGCAGAGAGTCCCCCTCCACCCGCACGCACCCCCCGAGGCCCCCTCGCCCAAGGAAGGGGGCGCGCCTGAGGGCGAGCGAGGGGGTCTTCCCCCCCCAAAGCCCTCCTTCTACGCCCCCCCGCTTGAACAGGAGGGCGCCACAGGTCGCCGCCGCCTCCCGCGCCGCCGCTGCCGCCGAAGCCTTTCGCCGCCATCTTGCCTCCTCCTTCCTCGCTCCGCGACCTGTTCGCCGCCGATTGGCCGAGAGCGAGCCGGGGCCGCAAGGGACGACGGGAGGCGTAGTTTCGAACGCGGCCGCGAAGAATGAAGGGGGGGAACAGGAGGCGGCGGAGAGGCGCCAGAACTCTGGGAAATGGCAAAGGACGCTGGGAAACGTAGTCCGCCCGACACCTCCGGGGCTCCTAGCTTCCCTGTTGCTATGGCTACGGACGGGGCGGGCGAGAACGTGGGGGCAGCGAGGCGGGCCTGGAAGGTGGGAGTCCAGAAGGAAGCGGGGAGCCGGCTCCCCCCTCGCCCAGTGCTCGCCTGACCCCGGCCGGCCGAAGCCCAGGTAAATTGGGGGTGGGGTGGGGGGGTCGGGTCCCGTCAGCAATCCGGGACAAGGGGAGGGGCGCTTGCCGCTCTAGCCACTGGAGGACTAGAACTCTGTGGTGTGCCCTGCCCACCCAAAAGCTTGTGCCTTCCTCAGTCTAGGGTAGGTCCAGGGGTCACGTGACCTGCTTAACAACAAAACCCCTCCCCCTCCCCTTTTGGCCAGCCCTGACCCACCTCGCGGGGTGGTTGTGAAGGGAGAAGAAACAGGGACGTTTATGACTCGCCAAAATCATCTCTTTGGTGGAAGAAGCCTGGATAAAAGGGCCAGAGCGAAGAAACGCTTGGGAAGGCAGTCAGTCGCCCATAAATCCCCCTTATCCGCGGGATCGGTATCCGCGGATTCACTTATCCACTGGCTGAGAAGATTAAATAGCCCCCCACCCCGAGAAATACTTGTTTATATGGATTTCCAGAGTGTGGAAGGAGCCAGAGATCATGCAATGGATCGAGTTCTCTCCTTCCACATTTTTCAGCATCCGCAGGGTATTAAATAAGCCGCCCACCCCCCACGCCCAGAAATACCTATTTATATGGATTTCCAGAGTGTGGAAGGAGCCAGAGATCATGCAATGGATCGAGTTCTCTCCTTCCACATTTTTCAGCATCCGCAGGGTGTTTGTGGTTTGGAACCCATCCTCCATGGATACTTCAGTCCTACTTACTGTACGGGACCCCCGAACCTTTGATTGTTGTTCTGTGCTTTTCAAAATAGGTGGGATATTTAAGGACTGGTTTAACTGACTAATCACTGTGCAATTCCTTGGCTGAGCAGGGATTTGAACTCAGGTCTCAACACTTCCTGCTACCAAGTAGTGTTCTTGGGCCAGCCAGCACAGCTGGTGGGGAAGGCTTCTGGGAATTGCAGTCCAAGAACATCTGGGTGACCTACACACTGGCTCTTTAATAGGTGGGTGGGAGCTGTAGTTTCAGCAAGTCCCGCCTGTGTGATGAGCATTTGCAAAGGTCTGGAGTGGATAATGCTTTTGCTAAACCATTAAAAGAGAGACTAAATGGATAATATTTGAAAGGATGGTTTTGTGTGGCATCTTGCCCATCCCATCAGGTCTCGCTGGGCCGTCTGGTGTCAGGAGCCACCGGGCAATCCAACTGGCCTCGTTTTGCATCAACTTTGCCCTGTGAAGAGTTCGGGAGAACTCAAAGCCTTGCTTTATTTGTAAGGTTTTAGTCCGGCTGGTGTTAATATCCTCAGGAGAGGCCTTCCTCTCTGTCCCAAACCCATCACAGGTGTGTGTTTTGGTGGGGACACAAGAGAGGGGCCTTTCTTGGTGGCTGTTCCTTTAGACTCTGGAACTCCCTCCCACTGGAGGCCAGCCTGGCCCCATCTTGGCTCTCTGCAATCAGACAAAGACCGTTCTCTTCTGTCTTTAGTGACGGGCTGCCTGAGTGGGGTTCCTAAATGGATTGTTTTACCTCACAGCATTGAATGAGTTTTGGGTGTTGCTTTTGTTTACCTTGTTTTTGGGTGGCATTTGTTAGATCCTTTTTAGTATTTATATACTTACTGTTTTTAGCTTTTAAACATTATCTTTTAATGCAATAAGATAGATGCCTTGGATGCTTTTTAACAAGAAAGACAAGGTGGAGGTATTTTAGATGGATGGATGGATGGATGGATAGGAAGGAAGGAAGGAAGGAAGGAAGGAAGAGATAGATAGATAGATAGATAGATAGATAGATAGATAGATAGATAGATAGATAGATAGATAGATAGATAGATAGATAGATAGATAGATAGATAGTGTCTCCACCTTTTTGTTTTTACTTACTCTTCCTTGGAGGGATTACTAGCCGACCCTGACAGCCTCCAAGGGGAGGCACATGGCTACCCAAGTCCTATTTTCTCAGCAGCTTCCCACTAGCAGCAAATGCTAGTTAAAAAGTGGCACAAGGCTGGCACGGGAGAAGAGAAACACCAGGGAAATGGATCCCTGAGGTCATACCTGGTCTAATTTCTGCAAAGTGTTATGACTCACTTGTGCAGGGATGGGAGACCTACATATGTTCGCCAGTGTGTTCGTGACCTTGATTTGCTTTTTTTCCATCCACCTCTAATGTTTAGATTGACATTTGCTGCAGTGTTTAGACTCTCCTTTTTCTTTAGCGTCAGGTTAATTGGGCAGTCACCGTAAAAGAATGGCCCATTTTTTAATGCAGGAAAAAGCTTGTGCGGTTTGTTCCTCTCACCTGTTGGGCACCCCCTGAGGAGGAGAGGCATAATTCAAGGGCAATTGCAGGGTGGCTGTTGCCAGATGTTCCCCAGCTGGAACACTGAGGCCATTAAAAGCAAAGCTGGAAAGCAGGTCAATTGGATCTAAAGGCTGTTATAGTACCTCCTTTTTAAAAAAATAGGAACATCAGTTACCAAGAGGGGATCAAGCAAGTGAAATAATGACCAGTTCCTGGCAGTCAAAGCTGCCCTGAAGTACTACATGTTGCATTTTTTAGTATTAGATTGTAGCCAGAACCCTAGCGATGACAAACCTAGACAACAAAAGTCCACATAGTCAAAGCTATGGTTTTTCCAGTAGCGATGTATGGGAGTGAGAGCTGGACCCTAAAGAAGGCTGACCACCGAAGAACTGATGCTTTTGAATTGTGGTGCTGGAGGAGGCTCTTGAGAGTCCCCTGGACTGCAAGGAGAACAAACCTATCCATTCTAAAGGAAATCAACCCTGAGTGTTCACTGGAAGGACAGCTCCTGAAGCTGAGGCTGCAATCCTTTGGCCATCTCATGAGAAGAGAGGACTCCCTGGAAAAGA